TGCCAGTGGAACTGCTGTCTAGGTGGGGAGATGGATTCTGCCAGTGGAACTGCTGTCTAGGTGGGGACAGATTCTGCCAGTGGGACTGTTGTCCAGGTGGGGACAAGGTCCTCTTTGCCCACCCTAACTCAGGACCCGCCAAACAGTTGGTTCCAAAGGGAGACAGATTATGCCAGTGTACTGTTGTCTAGGTGGGGACAGCTTCTGCCAATGGAATTGCTGTTGAGGTGGGGAGATGGATTCCGGGTCTTCCTGCCCCACCATCTTTCTAGAATCCTCTGAAATCAGTTTTTGGTACTGTGAACCTCTACATGTTGGAAAGATACAGAACAAGCTGCTAACAAAGATGCCAGTCCACTCTGTAGAAAGAATGAAGGCTCACCTAAAGCAATGCTGGGTGCCTGGGATTCTGAGTCAGCACGGCCATCCCCATCCTGGGGCTGTCACAAAAACGCATGCTCCCAACCTTCCAGCACAGCACAGGTCTTCCGTTTCTGACACTAAGGAGTGGAAGGTGCAGAGCAGGTCCTACAGAATCACAGGCACCCTCAATCCAAAACTAAGAATTACAGCCACACATCAGGCTCTGCTATGACTTCAGCAGGAAAATGCGCATTTGAACCAACATGTGACTCTGCTCTTCTTTCCCACCTGTGGTAAACGTAAGGATGTAGCAGGAGGGAATCTGTGATCATCACCGCAGTAATTAAAAATTAACAGAAAGACAAGACATGAAATCTCTGCCTTTCTTTGATGACCTGGCTCGAACACCCCTCCCACAGGGAGGCAACACTGAATGGCAGGCAGTGGAGTGAGGGTTGAAGAAATAAAAGTGATCATGGCAGGAGGCAGACAAACTCTTAGGCAGATAGGAGCAGGTCCCCAGTGAAACCTGACCTTCAAACCAAAGGCAGCCTGAAGCCTGAAACCTGGGTGGCCAGTTCTGGGTAGAACCCACAACCTGGGGCGCGAACTTCCTTAATGCCTTTCAGTCAATCAAATGGTGTTTTTCCCAGACCCACCCATGGATCAATCAGCACACACTTCCTCCAAAAATCCCCGACTCAGCCATGGCCACACAAAGGGAGCTACTACTTTGGGTCTCCTCTGCTGAGAGCTGTTGTGTTGCTCAATAAAACTCTTCTTCACCTTGCTCCCTGCTTCCAGTTGTCCATGTGACCTCATTCTTCTTGGACACAGAACAAGAACTTGGGATCTGCCAAACAGTGGGCGCAAAAGGGCTGTAACATGCTCCCGGCCAGGTGGCTGAGCTGCAGGCAGTGACGCGCTCCTGTTCACTGAACTGCGGGAGTGAAGAGCGGCAATCACTCTCGGGACCCAAACCTCAGGATTCCTCAAGCCAGAGCTGTAACAACACTAGAGCTCTCTGCGTTGGTGTCCGAGGCTGCCCCATGTGACAGCTAGCGGAGGCGGAGCTAGGCCAGCCCCAGTGTGAGGTGGCAGGACTGCGCAGGTGAAAACACAGCCAGCCCCTGCCGTGGTGCCATGGTGTCGTGGTGTCACAGAGAGAGTGGTAGCATACCCTCCCACCCATCCCCTCGGGGCTCCACAGTTGCTGTGACTCCGAGTTTTGGTGCACCACCACATTCCTCATCCAGACACCAGTGCCTGCAGCATAGACTGCCTGCAGTACGCCTCATCCAGCCAGAGCCCTGCACAGAGCCAGAGCCCAGAGCTGCCCGCCCACCACAGCGGCCAGTGCCTGGACGCCACACCTGCTTACTCACACGTGCCTGGCTTGCCCATGGCAGGTGTGGGATCTGGGCCTGCAGTACCAGCTGAGCACAGCTTGCTGGTCCGAGTGGGCAGAATGGGCCCAGCAGGCATGAGTAAACTCAAGCAGAGGTGCCGGTGGCCAGAGAGGTTTCCAGCTGGCTCCTGTACCAACAGGATAGAACCTACGCAGATTCCGGCTCTGTACGGACGCTACCGTAGAAGGTGTTTGTCTCTCTCTGCCATCCGGGTAAGTGGACTCTGCACACCCTGTCCCAGGACACAGGGAACTCCTCCATCTGCACTCCTGTCTGTCCAGCGATGTTGAAAGATGCACTGACAACCATCACAAGACAAGGCAGCTGTGGGTGCCATGCTCCTCTTAGGAAACAGTTCTTAGGAAACAAAACTGCAACTTCTATGCCCACCTGGAAGGTGGGGCAAGCCCTGGGTGACAACACACGGGAGCAGCTGAAGCTGAGGGAACACCTGGACAAAGCAGGCAGCTGGCTACTGACACAGCTCCCCCATGGCTCCAGGCCGTTTTACACACTGCCCTAGACTAACACGCTGGCAGAACACCCACTTCTAGGTTACAAATAAGGAAAGGGTGGTAGAGGAAGGGGGCTGTGGAAGGGTGAACTGGGGCCTGCTAAAGACACTGCATACTTTGTTTTAGAAGGCTCTTTTAAAAGATGATGATGGCCAGGCACGGTGGCTCAAGCCTGTAATCCCAGCACTTTGGGAGGCCGAGAAAGGTGGATCACAAGGTCAAGAGATCGAGACCATCCTGGTCAACATGGTGAAACCCCGTCTCTACTAAAAATACAAAAAAAATTAGCTGGACATGGTGGCACATGCCTGTAATCCCAGCTACTCAGGAGGCTGAGGCAAGAGAATTGCCTGAACCCAGGAGGCGGAGGTTGCGGTGAGCCGAGATCGCGCCATTGCACTCCAGCCTGGGTAACAAGAGCGAAACTCCGACTCAAAAAAAAAAAAAAAAAAAGATGATGATACAACAAAGCTAAAATAGGAAAAGAAAATCTCAACGGTTTAACAACACTTCAGACATTACTTGTAAGCCCTAACATACGTGAGCATAACGCCATACTTTTGCAAAACACCAAGTTTAACTGTTTCAAACAAATAAAATTAACTCAAATAGCAAAAAAGTTGACAGTAAGGGGAACAGATAATGACTGATTTTGTTTTCTAACTTCCAATGAAAAGAACCAGAGCTCCCCGGAGAAAGAGCTGGTTCTGGCACTGGGAAGGGACAAGGCAAAGTAAGCCAGACCATTGGGTGAGTCAGGAAGGTCTTGATGAAGAGGTGGGCCACGCCCCAGGACTCAGCACCAGCCTAAAGGGGTCACCAATGGACAAACTTGGGACAACCTGAACAACTAAATAAATAATGATAGGAATAGATTACAGTCCAGACGCTCAAGTAAGAGTCCAGGAGTCAGTACTTAAAAACAAATATACAGGCTGGGGGTGGTGGCACATGCCTGTAATCCTAGCACTTTGGGAGGCCAAAGGAGGAGAACTGCTTGAGTCCAAGAGTTTAAGACCAGCCTGGGCAACATGGTGAGAACCCCATCTCTCTCCCTTTTTTTTTTTTTTTAAATAAATGAACAGATAACTGTGTGGATGGACAGGGAAGTGAAGCACCTCCTCACAGCAGCAAGTGAAATACTCGAGAGAGGAAATGATGGAGTTAGAACACCACCATTTGGCACCCAGCAAGCAGTACTAGTTGAGCGTGAATCACAGCAGACGCCGAAGCCCCTGATGGGGGGCACCCACAACGCCTGAGGTCCGTCCCCGCAAGATAAGCCTGCAATCTAGGAGCAGTAACTTTACGATGGTGAGGTCTGCAGACTCCAGCAGCCAAACAGGACAAAGGCCCCCCAAATTCGATTCCTAAGGTCACTTGCCAGTTAGCTGCTTCGCTCCACAACTGGCACCCAATCCTGGGAAACACTGGGCAAAACCCACATCACACACGTTCTACGAAACAGCTGGCCTGTACTCCTCAAAACGCCACGTGAAGACAGACAAAGAAGGCTGAGAATGCTTCCGATTAAAGGAAACTAACAGGACACAGCAACTAGGTGGCCAAGGCTCCAGGACCAGACTCGATGTGTCCTTTGCCCTAGAGGACAGGAGGGCATGGGCAGTGCTGAGCAGGAACTGAGTTGGGGAGCAGCGTGGCGGCACACCTCCTCCCGGGATGTATGCGCTGCAATTACCCAAGACCCCTGCCAGGATGTCTGTGCTGTGGTTACCTAGAGAATGTCTTCATTTCTAGGGACACTACAGTTATTTTTGGGAAATAACATTGGTTTTCAGGGTAAAGGTGCACAATATCTACCGCATATGTTCATATCTCAGGAAAAAAGTTAGACACGGGGGGTGGGGGCTGTGGTCGTGCCACGTGGTAAAATGAGTCAAGGGCACACAGGACTCCTTTGTAAAATTTTTGCAACTTTGCTGGAAGTCTGAAAATACTTTAATAAAAAATATTTTTAAAGTCCAGAAAAAGACAGACACCTGTAGCCAGGTTATCATCCCCAAGTGAAGCCTTTCAGGCTGACCCCCAGCATTCACCAGGGCTGACAGGAAGGCCCTGGCATCTCTCTGGGATGGCGCCAAGTACGCATTCCATTCAGAAGCTGAGGACGGTGAAAGCCCAGGGAGCTCCGACGTGTTGCTCACGCTGAGGTGCCGGTGCCCACCCAGCACCCAGCACCATAAAAGGTCCCTGGTAAGGAAGCAAACGTCCATCCACTCCCCGAACTGCACATAGAAGCTGCTAGCCCAGGAGAGTGAGGAGCCCGCCCGGAGCGAGTGGCTGGCGACAGAGCAGCTGGAGCGGGCGGCAGGGCCTCACCCTGGGCTGCAGGCTTCCCCAGCACACCCCAGCATTTCCAACGGCACTTCGCCTGCACACCAGGAAAGCTTTCCAATCTAGGGTCTCCTCCCCAAACACACCAAGTTAGTAAGATACCAGTAAAGAGAACAATCTTCATCTTGAGAGTGAAAACAAGCTAGGAAGTCAGCAGCGCATTAGACAAGGCTTTGGAGCAGAGGGCAGGTGCGCCTCCTTAGGCACACAGCTGAGCTCTGCAGAAGGGCCGCTGACGCCAACAGTCACTCATCAAGAGCCACAGGCACTTACAACCACACACAACTCTCACCTGGCAAGGAGCAGGCTCGAAACACACATTCAAAGAGCAAAGACAGTTGCTGGGTCTCCCTTTTACCTGTCTGTGATTTTGTGGTGGCCATGTAGCATTGGTTCTGAGGTAGCGACGGATGAAGGGATGGGAAGGGGGGTAAAAGCTGCTGTCGTCCAAAGTCAGAAATGTTTTTGTTGATCTCCTCTTTTGGTTCCTTATGATCTCTAGCTTCTCGAACTTCTCTGGGGTCTTTACTGGCTGCATGCTTCAAAACAAAGACAGTGAATAACTATAACTGTGCATAAGCAGATGGTCATTGAAATAACATGCAACCAAAATCACAGTTCTTCTCCCCATTAACTCCCCACAACTGAAAGATGAGACACAATGGAGAGAAGAGAAAGTCTCAGGTGGAAACAGCAGGACAGTCCTCACAGAAGCCCCCGGCACTAAGACATGTGTGCCTAGCTGCCCTCGGATGGGTTAGGTCAGCACCCACAGACTAAGAACAGCGTTCACAGGGCTAAACATGAGAAGGAGGAAGGAGGGGCAGTGACCACCTGTGGTCCACAAAACCTGAAACATTTTCGAGCTGGTTCTTTGCAGAAAAAATGTTCCAACCCCCGACTTAGGTAATAAATTTACTAAGCTAAAAAATACCAAAAATGGGCAGCATCAAAACCTCTCAAAAACTGCTTTCCCAGTTTATCACAGCTACAATTTGCAACATCCCCAAATGGGATTTATTCCACAGTAGGTAACTGTATTATGTGTTAAAACTCTCTTTTACTCAGTCTCCCTGATCTCCTAAATTTACCTTTAATCTCAACCTGCAGGGCAAGGCTGTAACGTCAAAAGCAAACTCCCAGTACTTCCTCCACTGCAGAATGCACAGACACAACTAAATCTTCACTCCCTGCTTCCCTAGCCACCTATAGACCTGTGACAGTTAACTTCAAATCCAATTCAATTTAACCTCATTTTATTGTGCAGGCAGTAGGTGCAATACATACCAAAAAGTGTTAAAACACAGGGCATTCTTCCACAACTGGTACTGGAAGAACTGAATGACCACATGAAAAAGAATGAAGCTGGACTCTTTTCGAAACCATATATAAAAATTAACCCAAGACTGACCACAGACCTAACTGCAAAACCTAAAACCATAAAACCCTTAGGAGAAAACAGGTGGGAAGCTTCCCAACATTGGATCTGGCAATTATTTCTTAGACATGAAACCAAAAACACAGGCAACAACAAAAAAAAATTAGACAAATTGGACTTAATCAAAATTAAAATTTTGGCCGCGCATGATATCTCACGCCTGTAATCCCAGCACTTTGGGAGGCCGAGGCAGGTGGATCATGAGGTCAAGAGATCAAGACCATCCTGGCCAACATGGTGAAACCCTGTCTCTACAAAAAAAAAAAAAAAAAAAAAAAAAATCAGCTGGGTGTGGTGGCACGAACCTGTAGTCGCAGCTACTTGGGAGGCTGAGGCAGGAGCATTGCTTAAACCCAGGAGGCGGAGGTTGCAGTGAGCTGAGCTCGTGCCACTGCACTCAAGCCTGGTGCCTGGTGAGAGTGTGAGACTGTGTCTCAAAAAAAAAAAAAAATTAAAATTTCTGAGCCAAGTGTGGTGGCTCACACCTGTAATTCCAGCACTTTGGGAGGCCAAGAGGGGAGGATCGCTTGAGGCCAGAAGTTCAAGACGAGTCTGGGTAACATAGCAAGACCCTATCCCTACAAAGAAAAATTTCTAAAAACTAAAATTTGTGTACATCAAAGGACATAGTTGACAGAGTAAAAAGGCATGCTACAGAATCAGAGAGAACATCTGCAACGCCATCAGGAATTACTATCCAGAACACATGAAAAAGTCCTGCAACTCGGTAATAAAAAATAAATGACCCAATTTAAAAAAGGGCAAAGGACATCACAGACATTTCTTCAAGGAAGAGGTCCAAATGGCGAATGAGCACACGAAGAAAATGCTCAACCTCATTAGGGAAATGCATATCAAAACCACAGTGAGTATCATTCACACACACTAGGATGGCTATGAAACAACAGAAAACAGTCAGTGTTGTAAGAACCAGGGAAATGGGAACCCTTGTGTGCTGCTGGTGGGAATGTAAAATGGTGCAGCCGCCGTGAAAAACACGATCTTGATTCCTCAAAACATTAACTACGGAACTACCATGTGATCCAGCAATTCCACTACCAGGCATGTGCCCCAAAAGAACCGAAAGCAGGTCTTGAAGAGACGTCTGTACACCGACGTTGACATCAGCATCGTTCACAGCAGCCAACGGCGGGCAGCCACCCGAGGGCCAGCTGGGGGAGGATCGCAGAGGGTCGTGTGCACACAGCGAGTGGGACTCAGCCCCAGGAACGAGGCCGGGACCTGTGCTGCGGCATGGATGAGCCTTGGGGACACGATGCCGAATGAAATCACTCAGCCACAGAGGACAAATGTGGGACAGTTCCACTTACAAGAGGTCCCTAGAGTCGTCAGTAGGGAGACAGACAGGAGAAGGGCTGGAGACAGGGGCTGGGAGAGCGGGAATGGGAAGTCAGTGTGCAAAGAGGCCAAGCTTCAGTTTGGGAAGATGGAGTGACATGAGACCAAGTGACGGAGGGTGGTGAGGGCTGTTCAGCAATGTGAATGTGCTTAATGCTACTGAGCTGTTTACTAAAAAACAGTAAGTTTTATGTTATGTTTTACCCACCCTCCTACCCCACCCCCCACACACGACAAGGCATCCTCATCAACTAGAGTCAAGGTCAGGGAGAAGTCACCGAGGTCATAAATAACTGTAATTCCACGTGCCCAATGGGCCGATGACATGAGTGAGCATGTGGCTGCTCAGAGAGATTCAGGAGATGCTTGTGGAGGTTACAGACGAGGCAGGCAGGCAGAGCAGGGAGTGCCAGGTAAGAGCACACGGGGAGAACAGGGTAGCACGTGGCTCGGATGGGTACCCACCTCTCTCGGTACCACAGGCACACTGTTCGTGTCTGCTGCCCTCCCTCCTTCCCTGTCTCTCGAGCACATCTTGCTGCCACGTGGTACCTGCAGAGCTTCTCACTGAGCCCACTTTAAGCTGCTGGACACCCCACTGATGTCCAGAACAGATATGGAACCACCTGGGCTCCCTACTGGGGAGCCTATTGTGGATTCACATTCTAGTGGCCACAGCTCTCTGGGTTTCTCGTTGCTTCCCCCTGTGGAGACCTGTCCAGCTCAGCAGCCCTGTTTGCCACATTCTGTGATTTCTCTCGGAATGTACCTCCAACCCTGGAATAAGTGTACTTTTCCCCCTAAGGATTAATGATGTCTTCCCATCTCCAAAGCACGGCTCAAACATGACAGCTCCCACTACCATGTGCATTCATGAATACACCCTCTGCACTCGAAGCACTGTTGGAATACAACACATCTGCTTTATAGAATTTCTTGGTCTCTCTCCAGTACACCAGGTTAGACTGCAATGAAGTCACTGTTATAACTCAGGAATCACAGACCCCTCTCTGTCACCTACAAGCCACCATGCAGGCTGTTGGCTATCGCGCTCAGCTGGCGCTTACAAACACAAAACGCACTTTCAAGGTACATACAAATGAAGGGCAGAAACAATCCCTGAAGGGGAAATAACAACGTGAGGCTAATTCTTGCTGAGGTACACAATCTATTCGTTAATCGAAAGGTCATTTGCAAAAATCTAAACAGTAAGATGAAGAACGGCTGAACCTAGGTGAGGATTCTAGATTTTTATTTCGTTGGGACTCTGTTATCTAACAAAGCACAAGGAACAAGAAGACCTCGCCGTGGAGGCAGCGTGACTGGCCTCTGTCTTCACATGGTCTGGCTCTGGGAGCACAGCCCTTCCCTGGGGCTCCTCCCTCCCACGGGGCGCTTGGCACCAGTGTGAATTCTCACAGCTGGACACTTAGTAGCAGCTATTCACACAATCACTAAGAACTACTTCCAATGCAGACTGCCAGGCACCACCTCTTCCCCGGAACTAGGGCCCAGAGTGGGTGCCAGGAGGTGAAGTGTGGACACACACATGCAGAGAGAACACCACGGGGTGCCCTGCTGCCTCCTCCTGGAGTGGGCACAACTCAGGGAAACGGAGTTGCCAACCAGGGCACAGAAACAGGCATTTTCAAGTGGAGAAAACATTCCCTTCCACGGCTTCCACTTTTTCTGCCCTCCTAACAACGGTGAAGCTGCCAACGAGCAAGTCTCACTGTGAGGCAAGGCTTTCAGAGTTCTACGAGGGACCAGTGAGCAGGTCTCACTCTGAGCAGAGGCTCCGGGAGGGACCAACGCTGGATACAAGGTCCAAATCCGTGGGTGCTTGCCATGAATAGTGAGACTGCAGCTATTACACCACCTTCACTTTTAAACTTTTACAAGAATGTTGGATTTATTAACATAGCCTGCAATGTTCATATTAAATATAAAAAATACCAAACAAGACTGAACTGATTTTGGGGTGGCAGGAAATCCTGAAGGAAGGAGAGGCCATGCCCAGAGCCACAGACACAGAGCACACGAGGCGGGCAGGGGAAGCACCCACCCACCCAGCTCTCTGCTGCACCACCTCAGTGGGGTCCACAGTCACTGAGCACACAAGGGGCACAGGGCAGGCACCCTCCCACCCATGGTCTCTGCCACATCACTTTGGTGGGGCCCACAGACACAGAGCACACGAGGAGCACAGCACAGGCACCCTCCCTCCCACGGTCTCTGCTGTACCCCCTCCATGGGACCCACAGACATCACCTGCCCTGGCTCAGTCCATCTCCTTCTCCCGCAGGCCCCCGGAGCAGCACAAGTTCTCCCGGGTGTGGAGAGGGTATGGAGATCAAGAAACCAGGTTCGGGAGTCTCTTTTCCTACAACTGACCAAACTGTGAATGTTGAGTAATTTTCATCCAAATGACATGTGTTGTAATCAGTTATACTTTAATTATTCTAATACCTCAATCCAGAACAAAGCAATCACTTAAACGAGCCTCATGGTCAGAGAACATTTTAAAATTAGATTTCAGATTGCTTTTTTCCCTAGAGGACTGTGGCAGGGCGACAATAAAAGACCCTCAGGAATAAACTGTATGAGAGCAAGATCCTGGAAACAAGACTGCAGGAGAAGCTCAACTTCAGCGAATGAGTGATGGAAAGTTTGCATGTGAGTTTAAAACTGTGACCGGTGTGCCATCCACAGGCAAAAAACAAATTCAGCCTCAGCCCAAGC